ACTGGAAATCTAAATAGAGCAGGAACTCCTAGCCCCCTGGAGGAAAGCATTCCAGTCTATTCCATCGGTCTGCAAGGGAAAATTTTTTTTATTACTTATTTTATCCTTTATTTATAAGTTTTAAATTTAAAATTTTATTTTTAAATAATTAAATCTCTTGCATTCAAATTAATAGCTCATTTGTTTGTGCCCTGTCTTTATTATATAAATGAAACCAAATAAATTTCAGGAATTAAAAAAATCCCTTTCAATTTTTTTACATCCCTTAAAAATACATCATTTTTATCCTCTTAATAATTTTTTTTGACCGTTGTTGAATTGTTCCAAAACCAATAGATCTCACCTCTCTGATCTCATATATTTTGTTTTTTTGTTATTTTTTATATACTTGTTTTGCTTTTGCACACAAACTATATGGGACAAACACCTACAATGGAGGGAGGGAGGAAGGCCCCACTTAAGCCTCTTAATAATTAGGCCTTTGTTAAATGATAATTATTTTTAAAAAATAATAAAAAGTATATAAATATCAACTATTTATAATGGAAATGTGAATTATCATGATTCATTACAAGTTTTCCTTCTAGTAGAAATAATTAGATTCTTTATCCATTAGAAAATTTAAAAAGAAAAATAATTTAGATTTAATAATATTAAATGAGAAAAAAATGTATATTAGTATCAACTCCAAAAATAACTTAAAATCTTAACTTTAAATTACAATGTTTTATTCATTTAAAAGTCAATTCATAATTTAAAAATCTATCTTATTAAATGTTGATATTTAGATTTAAAATTAATTATATCAAAATATATAATCAATTTTTAAATTTAAATATTAATATTTAATATAGTGAAATTTTAAATTTTGAATTGAAATTTTAATTTTTAAATATAAGTTCAGAGTATAATTTTTTAAAAAATGCAAAACTAATAAGTACTAACTTATCTTAAATATACTCATATATATATATATATATAAACAAAGCAATTACATTAAAATTACATATTAAAAATAAAAAATTAATATTAGTGATCAAATTCAAAAACAGGATCAATGTACCACACTACTGAACCTTACCATGGGTATGAACCTGGCTGGCAAATATACTCATATTCGATGCTACAAAATTTAGGGTACAAAGGTCTAGTTCACTGCTAGCTCCATGTAAGACCACTTAGAGTTTGTTTTGTTTTATTGGACTCTGGACCGGAACCGGACCAACAAGAAGGAATGGAATTTTCATAGTAGAAAAGTAGTCCCGGTAAAATTGGATCAATCCTTTTACCAAAAAGAAAAAAAAAATTGGATCAATCCGACTATCTCCGTTCGTGGATTTTATATATTAATTCAAAATTTAAAATGATTCAAATTGAAATTATTTGAATTTAAATAATTTAAATTATGGGTAAGTCGGATTACTTAAAATAATTTTAGTATTTACTTATTTTTTATAAAATTATTTAAAATTTAATTTAATTTTTTAATCTTAAAAATAAAAATAAATATTATATATACCTCAAACTCTAATTAATTTTTAATTTCTTAATTTTAAAATAAAAATAAATAAAATATGTTCCCCAACCCCCTCCCAGCTCTTGTCCCGTCAGTCTCACACTTCCAAATTTCCCTCTTCGACACTCTTCCTTTTCCCCTCTTTTATCTCAAGCTCCCTAATCCTTTTCCACTTGCATCAGACGAAAATCAGATCTGATGGCAACAGTGAGCTGCATCAAAAAAATCTTTTTTTTTTTTTTTTAACTTACAATAGGAAGCAGGATAATGCTTTTAGAAACTCAAGATCCAATGTTGGAGGTACCTTGTTACCATAAAAAACACAAGAACAAAAACATTATGAAAGTTAGTTCTTAATTATTCATTTGTTTTTAATTATTAATTTGTTTCTAATTAATAAAAATCATTTTTGATCTAATTTTTTTTTGTATTGATTTATTTTTTTAAATGATAATTTATCTAACTTTATTTTATTCCAACCATGTTCATTTGTGGATTTTTTTTTTTGTCTTACTTTGTAATAATTTTCAAGTTTCTAATTTCATATTTAATGTTTTTTGAAGGAAAATCTGAAGTTATTGTTGAGCCTGAGTCAAAGAGAAGGAAAGTTTTAGATGTTTGGAAAGATTTTGACATCATTTGGGCTAAAAATTAGAATGATGGAAAAGATAGAGCCAAATGCAGATATTGTGGCGCTACCCATATAGCTCCATCTTCGTATGGTACAAAAAATTTGAAAGAGCATCTTTTGAAATGTCCTTCAAAATGTGCTTCTAGTAATGCTTTACGAATGTTGATTGACAATTTTGAAAAATTGGGTAAAGAAAGGATAGATTCGGAAGAGAGATATACCTGACAAACAAGTTGTATTGGGTGGATTCGGATTGGATAAACAAGAGGCCTCTTAAAGATGTTTATGTTGATGATGATGGATGGATATCGGCACTGATATCTTGTGTGAGGATCGTCACCTGTTTTGTTGTAATGATGGTTACGACATTCATCTGGGCGTTGAGTATGTTTGTGCTCCTGCCTTGGCCTTACTAGAGAGGCCGGCAAGGAAATATCAATGGCCATGTGACTGGTAGATTGATGGTATGCATTTCTTGATTTTTTTAAAACATTTTATGAGCATGAAAGGAAATCAGTTGGTGCTTTTAGTTGTTTCTGAATTTCTTTTGGTTGCTGATAAACATGAGGGAAAAAACAAAGGAAGAAAAGAAATTGGGGAAACTTTGAAACTTAGCTATTTTTGCTTCATTCCTTGGAAAGCCATTTCTACATGGACAAAAGTACAAGTTCATTTGTCTGCTGTTTCAGGGAAAATTTTAGGCTGTCTTCTTACCTCAGCAATCAAAAGTTTGCTCCTTTTTGACAAATTTCCTTTTAACTGTTTGTTCCTCTCAAATCTCTCATTCATTTATTTTGGTTGTTGAAACATCTCAAGTTAATTTAAGAAGATAGTACGTCCATCAGAAGATAAGCTTTGTGAGTGTAGATGAATCCATGGTTCAAGAAAACAGTAGAGTCGTTGGTGCATAGAAGCTGGATCTAATATTCTCTGATC